TCCCGTTGTTCAGTCCCAGCTCCTGCCAACCTAGCAGTTTGAAAGCACATCAAAGTGCAAGTAGATAAATAGGTATCATTCTGGCGGGAAGGTAAACGGCGTTTCCGTGCGCTGCTCTGGTTTCGCCAGAAGCGGCTTAGTCGTGCTGGCCACATGACCTGGAAAAACTGTCTGCGGACAAACGCCGGCTCCCTCGGCCAGTAAAGAGAGATGAGCTCCGCAACCCCAGAGTTGTTTACGACTGGACTTAACTGTCAGGGGTCCTTTACCTTTTTATTATTCCGTTGGTTTCCTCAGAAAGCGCTTGGACCAATGACTCATTTTCTTCATGTGCGATTAAAAGGATACTTTTAAAAGGAAACTTTCCATGCTTTTGCAGTCATTGTTATTTTGGTGTAAAGTTGGGACAGTCTGATCTGTGCCTGGCCTCTGAGATTATTGTTTTCTAACCCGCAGGACCCTAAGAGGTCTTAGGCAATGGCATCCATACGGCTGTGTGTGGGGCATTTCTTCCTGTTGAGCAGCAACCCCTTCCCTGCGTTACTCTCTTTGGAAGTTGAGCCCTTAACATTGTGACATTGTTCGTTAGGTTTTCTTTCGAGATCGCAAAAACCACCGTAGCGATTGATAGGGAAGGCATATATTAATGTTTAAAAACAAATTAAATTTCAAGAAGGTAGCTAAATAGAACCCTGATGCTCAGAAGCAGTGTGCTGGAAGAGGGGAGGGGGAAAACAAAACTGGGAATGGGCTGTTCTCTCTGCCTGCTCCCCCCTCTTGGAGGCTCCTGATGGAAAGAGAGTTCTGGATTTGGGTCAGCTGCAGCGAGGCTCTCTCCGTGTTCTTACACACTTGTGGCTGCAGCTTCTACTCCTGCCCTTAGTTGAGTCTTCTGCTCTGCTGCAATGTGTGGGGGTGGGGGAATCTGTGACCCTCCAGACTTTGCTGTTTGATTCCAACTCCTATCATCCCCAACCATGGGCATAGCCAAGGGGCAGCAGGGGGGCAGCTGCCCCCCCATCAAGTAAGTAAGTAAGTAAGTATATAAATAGAAATACTTAATTAACATCTTGGTTCTGCACCCCCCAACATAAATCCTGGCTACACCCATGTCCCTGACTCTTGGCCATTCTGGCTGAGTTGATGGGAGTTGGACAATCAACATCTGGAGGACCGCAAGTTCCCCATCCCTTAAGTGCTTTGTAGGCATGTGGTTACTTCATAAGCCTCCACACCTTAAACAGCTATTTTTGTTGTCTCCTTGGCATCCTTTTCGTTTGCACTGCTTTGGAACTCTAGGCTTGTTCTGGTCTTCTTTGTTTAGCAGTGTTTGTGTGATTTGTCTCCTTCCACTGGATCTGTTTTATCCTCCAGTTTTTATGATCTGCGAGGGCCTTCCCACACTGCCATATTCAGAACCTTTACAATGGTATAACGCAACTTGCTATGAATAAATCTTAAATATCTCAATGCAAACACCGAATTAATCAGGAGGCAGGCTGGTACTCCAACTTCTCTTCCCATCAACCATGCAGAGAACTGTCTGGAGCCTGTTTGTTAAGACTGTGCATTTCCTACTGTAACAGCTTGTCTATGCTCCTTTCAAGATCCTGTCATGTTCGCATGCGCTCTGTGTCTGAAGCTGTCATTCATTTCATTTAGATAGAATGTGAGGCCACGGTAGAGATACCTGCTGCATGCAGAAGCTCCCAAGCTTAAGCAAGGCTTCTCTAGTTAGCTTAAATTTTTTTAAAAAAGGTAGCAGAGGAAGATCTCTGCCAGAAACCCCGAAGAGACAATGCAAAGGGATCCATGGTGTGACATGGTGTGAGGCAGTTTTCATATCTTCCTATATGCATAAAAATGTAAGGTGTCATCACACTCTGAAGTTTGTGTGGCTGCCAATAGGCGGCTATGCCAACTGCACCGTGAGGAGTGGCTGGCCGGCCCTGGCAAGCTGCTTAACTGAGTGGTGGGCAATGTGGAGCACCTCTCCCTGCTTCTTTTAAACGAGATTTAATGGCAGATTAAATCTGGCAGCAAAATTTAATGGAGGGAAGTGCTTCGTACAGTATTTCAGCAAGCTACTCTGTGACGCACCTCCTACCTACTTTGAAAGGGGCTTGGAGGAGCTTGGGGCGAGTTGTCGGGTGGGGGCGAGTGGGTGGGTAAAGGGAAGGAGTTGGTTAGGCATGGAGGAAGGGGGTTGGCCAAAAGGGTTGGTGAGTGGAGCAGACCTGGTTGTCCTACAATGAGAGCTTGCCAAGTATATCCTCACAGAACAGAACCTAGGCCCTTTTGAAGTCTCACCAGTGCTGGATTTACATATAAGTTAAACAAGCTATAGCTTAGGGCCCCACTCTCTTGGGGGTCCCAAAAAAATTTAAAAGAAAAAAACACCTGGATGTACATTTCCAAAATATAAGATACAGAAATAAATTAAAACCTACATACAGTTGAAGTGTTATGTACTGAAGTTCTCACCCTGGTCCAGCAGGGGGATACTGTAGATAGTTATGCAAATAAGGGATCAAAAGTGACTTTCAGTGATTGGATAGTTTTAGAAAGTTGTTACAGTAACGTTGTACTGGAGCTCTATATAAGCAGGCTGACTGAACCCTTCAGTTCAGTTCTGTCCTGGCCTGTGAATAAACAAGAGCTGTTTGGAGAATCGCTGTGTTGTCTGATATGTTCACCCACAACTTAACATAAAGCTTAATAATTATTTCACTATTAATATACTTCTTCTTAATTGTATTTCAGTTCAACAATTACTTTGATAAAATACATATTTTGTTATGTGCAAATGGCTTTAGATACCTATTAGGTCCATAAATTACCATACAGCATATATTCAACACAAAGAACAGTGAGAATTTGTTGTTGACAAAGGACAACTGAACATATAAAGGGCCCCATTACCTACAGTAGCTTAGGGCCTCATCAAACCTAAATCCAGCCCTGAGTCTAACACAGAGATAACTAATGTGGTGCTCTCTAGATGTTGTCTGACTGCAACTCTCAACATCCATGATTGTTGGGCATAATAACAGGGGCTGATGGGATTTGGGAACCCAACAATACCTAGAAGGCAGCACATAGAGAGGTACTGTGATCCTTGGAAGAAGGTCAGTAAAGAAATATTATTGTTACTATCATCATCCCTAAAGTAAGGTACAGGATTCCCTAAAGGGCAATTTGATACACTGAAGAAAGCCAAACCCTTGGTCAACCTTGCTTCTACAATCCAGTCTTCCCCTTATATTTCGCTCTTTCTTGAGCGGTTAATGAGGTGGTTTGCTTACATAGCGTCTAAAGCCGGCATGTACTGGGGCCCCAAAGAGTTTCTTCAGCAGCTATTCTGGTTAAATACATAAGTAATTAACCATGGTTAGCTGTTTTTAGATCTCTGCATACAGAGAAAGGGAATGAAACAGCCACGAGTGCCAGTTTCATGCTAGTGAGTTCATATGTCATATATTTGAATGAGCCACTGCATATCAAAAATAAACGATCAAGTGACAGATACACTTGCATGTGTGAACCAACAGCCATCAGTAGGGGGTGGGGGACCTTATGGCTAAATTTCCCTCACTGACTGTCCCATTGCTGTTCTCCCTTTCAGGTCCCAGGAGGTGGTAGCACATCCATCGCTCAGTCGCCTGGCCCTGCCTAGAGCCCCTTCAGCCCCAATGGCTGAAGTCTGGTGAATTGAAAAAGCTTCAGCAGAGACGGGATCCAAAGGCCGGCAAGCTGGAGGAGGAGATGAAGAAGAGCTGCAGCGTCCTTGCTGTGACTCCAGACGAGGTGAGCAGGGCTGTCATGGTTGCCTTGCCGCAAATTGAGTTGGGTCACCTGCCTGAGACGTTGCTTTCCCCCCCCATGAAACTTGGGGTGGAGTGAAGATATAATTTATAAAAAGCAAAAACAGTTGCCAAGTTGATCCACAGAGAAATGCTCCAAAATCCACAGTTGGCCTTTGTTAGGGTCAACCCAAATGTCACAAAGAGAGAGCCAGATTTCTGGTTCTGTTGGTCTCTGAGGTAGAAGGCGATGGAGGGCGCGTGGTTGAGGGTGAGGAAGTGCAATACAAAATGCACAAATTAGATCTGCAGGTCTGACTGGGTTGGATTGGTCCCTGCTTGATGCAGGGCCTCAGCTCAGTTACATCTCAGATTCTCACAGTGTTTCCCTCAGGTGCAGGTAAGCCCAGTGTCCTCCCAAGCTTAGCAGTTGGACTGACAGATGTCATTGTTTGTCTACAACCCCACCAGATCCAGGCTTCAGGCAGGCTTTTTTAAAAAAAGCATTCTAAAGCATCATCTGTACATTACTTATATCTTTTTTAAAAGAAAGCTGGTCGGTGGATTTGTTTTTTTTTTATATATAATTTTATTATTATTAATTGACATCCATACACGATCTTGAGTACATGTACAAAGAGAAGGTAAAACTGATAATGATAGTAATAACAATTATACCGTTAAATATTGACTTAAACTTGTACATGCTCTTTTCTTATACTTTCTAGCTAAACAAAAATAAACCAAAGTAAAAAGCCAATAAACTAAATTATATCAAAACAGGCTTCCCATCATTTCCCAACGTAAGTTACATTTACGACATTGAATGTACTTATACTTCTTACCTTACTATAATTTCTAGTACTTTCTTATAACATATTGGACCATTTTTCCTCATTTAATAGTATTTAATTTACACAAGGGTCATTCAAACGCTGCCATAGATGTTATGTCATTGTTATATTTTTGTAGGTATTTCTTGGACATATCCCATTTTTGCTGTTCGGTGGATTTGAATGGGGAAATTTCTTGGTGCCATCATAGGTGACAGTCAGTCAGTGATGTTTGCAGCTAGTTTCTGCTGTGAACACGCAGAACAACCTTCTGCGCACCCCACTCCCCAGATCCCAAAGAGGTAAAATCATGTTTGGGATGCAGGGTGTGAGGGCTGTTCCAGAGTGGCTGCACTGCCCTAAAAATACCTTTAGCTCAGTTGGTAGAGAATGAGACTCTTAATCTCAGGGTTGTGGGTTTGAACAAATAATGGGCAAAAGATTCCTGCAGGGGTTTGGGATAGATGACCCCTGTGGTCCCTTCCACCTCTACAATTTTATGACTCTAAGGTTTGGTTTATGTGGGCTTTCCTTTCCGTATCACACGATGTATCTAAAATACCAAAAAATACTTGAATTTTTTACATATAAACTTTGTAATGAGAGAAACGAGTAACAGATTTACGTGTCCCAGTGGATATGTTTTGGATACGGTATATGCTCAGAGCTATTTATTTCCAACTTTTGTTTTATATGCATTTTTTTCTTTCTTTTTAAAGTACTTTATTGGCTACCAGTCATAAGTTGTGCCACTTTGTTTCTTTGAAGTGTATAATATTGTTTCAACAGCTGTAATTTCCCCCTTTTATGTGTTTTAAAATTTAATAAAGATTAATTTAAAAAATAGAATGGTTATTTCTGTCTTCACCTTTCAGGTATGCACAAAGTGGTGAAACTGAACTTCGAAACTGACCCACTGAGGACTAAGCGTTTGGTGTTTTTTCACGGTCCCTAGTGGGGAGCAGGAACTGTTCACAAGCAGGGGCACAGGGTATTGGTTTATGTGAATATGTATTTAAGACAATTTTTTGTTTCTTGAATGTTTCTGCAGTTGGGGAGGAGGAGATGTTCAGGTTAGCATCTGAAAAACAGGACATGGATATTTGAAGCAGGGGGGCTAACATGTGACTTAGCTGAAGAACAGCTGCCATAATCCCCGACCATTGGCTACACAGGATGGGCTGATGAGCAGGGTCAGAAACTGGGATAGAAAAGCTAGGAGCCAAATGGCTCCTGGGACCTGGGTTGTGGGCACCGAAACAGAACGTCTAGTTGCCATTGGCGGGTGGGGTAAAGACTTTTTATTGATTATTTTGATAAGCATGAACTAATACGCTATTCACACAAGTGACACGTTGTTAATCTCAGATTTCTAGCAGAAACTGTTAATACATGTTTAATTTGGTATTTACAATAAAAATAAATAAATACAATAAAAATATCAGTACCATACTTCAATTTTCAAAACGCTCTATTCTCTATTGTTAAACTCTTTAACATATTGTCTATCCTTAACAGACTTTGAGGCTTCAAAGCACATATTTCAGTAACCCAGACTTTTTGAGGTGTTTGCAAATGGAGAATCTTTAGGCACAAAATGCTCCTGGCGCCCTGCTAATTTTGAACCCTGCTGATGAGAGCTGGAGGGATGCAGAGTCAGCCCCTCCTGGCTTTAAAGGTCAAACAGGGACAGAATACCTTCCCAAAGTGGTCCACAGTAAATAAAGAAATTCCGTTTTTTTAAAAACCAAGCATTAAAACATACAGTTTAAACCACAATAAACAACTTATATAAACAAGTCCAAATCTCAACTAAAGAATCCATGACAGATGGCCATCCAGCCTCTGCATAAACACCTACAAGGAAGGAGAGTTAACAACATCCCCAGGGAGACCTTTCTTCCATCTTACTGTCAGAAAGTTCTTCCTGATGTTTAGTTGGAATCTCCTTTCTTGCAACTTGAAGCCGTTCATTCGGGTGCAACCTTCCAGAGCAGGAGAAAACAAGCTTGCTCCATCTTCCATGTGACAGTCCTTTAGATATTTGAAGATAGTATCTTATCTTAACCCTTGTGGTCCTTTCCAACTCTAAAATTCTATAAAATTCTATGAAAATCTCCTCTCAGATTCCTCCTTCCCAGGCTAAACATACCCAACTCTCTCAACTGTTCCACATAAGACTCGGGTTTCCAGACCCTTGGTCACCTTCTTCCGCACATGTTCCAACTTGTCAATATCCTTCCTAAACTGTGGCACCCAGAACTAGACACAGTACTCCCAGGTGTGGTCTGACCAAGGCAGAATAGAACAGTACTATTACTTCCTTTGAGCAGAACACTAACTTCTGTTGATACAGCCTAGAATAGCATTAGCTTGTTTTGCTGCTGCTGCATCACACTGTTGACTCATGTTTAGCTTGTGGTCTACTAAAAACCATGGATCCTTTTGACATGTACTATTGGCAAGCCAGGTGTCCCCCATCTCATAATTGTACAGCTGCCTATTCCTACCTAAGTGTAGAACCTAACATTTGTCCTTACTGGAATTCATTTTGTTAGTTTGGGCCCAGTTTTCCAGTCTATTAAGGACATCTTCAGTCCTGATTCTTCCTTCTCCAGCATTATCTACCCCTCCCAGTTTAGTGTCATCTGCAAATTAGATGAGCGCCCCCTCAAATCCTTCATCCAAGTCGTTTATAAAGATTTTGAAAAACGGCCTAGGACAGAACCCTGCAGTACCTTACTTATCACATTTTCCCAGCGTGACGTGGAACCCTTTGTGAGCACTCTTTGGATTCAGTCAGTCAACCAGCTACAAATCCACCTAACAGTTACCTTGTGCACCCCACATTTTACCAGCTTCTCCATAAGAATATCATAAGTCCAAAGACTTACTGAAGTCAAGATACACTACATCCAAAGCATACCCCTGATCCATCAAGCTTGTAACTCTATAAAAAAAAGAGAGAGAGATTTGTCTTGTATGACTTGTTTTTGAGAAACACATGCTGGGACTTGATAATCACAGCATCCTCTTCTAAGTGCTCGTAGACCAATCATCTAATTATCTGTTCTAGGACCTTTCCTGGTATCTATTGATGTCAAGCGGACCGGTCGCTAGTTATCTGGGTCTTCTTTTTTCCCCCTTTTGAAGATGGGGACAACATTTGCCCACCTTCAGCTTGATCCATGACATGATCTCATTTCAAGGGAGGGGATCTGCTGAGTGATCCAATCCCTCCTCGTGGCAAAGCACTTGCTAAGGGAGAATAGTAGCACCCAGCACTGTGGAGCACAAAAAAGAATGTGCCTCAAAAGAAGAGGTGGCTTGTTTTCTGAGGCAAACTTTGTGCTCCCCCCAATTGCAGTAAAAATGGAACCATGTGAAGTTTCATTTCAGCTCTTGTGGCAGCTGTCTACTTGTCTGCATGTGCTATTGCCAGGAGTATTGCAAGAGCACTCCCACTTAGATAGACACAGAGGAGTGAATAGCAGAAACCTTATCTGAGTGTTGAAGTGAGAATCAAAAGCCATCACTGGGGTGGGACACAAGAGGCTTGCTCTGAATCAAGCTCAGTGGGTGCAGACAGCGGTGGAGCATTTGCCCACACTGCCCGGGGGGGGCGTGGCTTGGAGGGTGCCCTCCCAGGCGCGGGATAGCCGCTTGGGTGCATGGAGTGGCTCGCATGCCCTGCAGCCAGCGATGGTGGACATTTGACGTGCCGCCTGCTTGCGACTCCCAAGCCTCCCCCAGGCTGTCAAAACGAAGGGGGAAGGGGGGAATGTCCCCAAATGGCTTGGGGTAGGCTTGGGAGTTGCAGGCGGGTGGTGTACCAAATGTCACCCCCCTCAGCAAAGACACCCGGGGTGGTCTGCCCCCACTGCCCCCCTTCCTCCGCCCCTGAGTGCAGAGCCCCCAGAGGGCAGCCCCCACCATTTCCTTCTTAGGGGTGGGAGGAAGCCAGCAGCACCTCCTGTTTGCCAAGAGGCCAGTATGGAGGCAACATTGCGGGGGAGGCTGCTGAGGAGGTGGCAAACCCGTCCTACAAGGAGCATGCACAACTGTTGCTGCCTCTGTGGCAGCGACAGCATTGGCAGCAGATGAACTTTCCTTGGAGGCCAGATCTGCTGCCCCGGTGGATCCTGCTGCCTGAGGCAGTCACCTCATCTTGCCTCATGAGTGGGCCTGCCCTGGTGAGTGGCCATAACGCTTGGCTAATCCATCTCACTTTAACAACTACAACTGCCTCCTCCACCCTTGGTCAAGTCCAGTTGAGCAACAGCCTCTCCAACACCATGACTTCAAGAACAGCAAAAGCAGCTGGGAATGGAGAAGAGAAACTCAGAATAAAATACCTTCAATACTTTCATGAGTTATGTGACCTTGTTGCTCAATGTCATCTTTTTGCGTGGCTTTTAAAATGTATTGTAACTTTGCTGTTATTTTGATTGACTACGATTTATTATAATTCTTGAGACTGTATTTCTGTTTGTTGATATTTGAGAGTTAATTTTTGTGCAACGTATTCTAATGCCTTATTGAAAATTATTTTTATATCAGTTGTCATTTTAAGTCATCTTTTTGTTACGACTTTTGAAAAACCAAATTGTTATAAGATGTGAGATCTTTGTTGTTGCTTTGGCTTGTAAACTGCCTTGGGTATGGTAATATAGAAAGATGATGATCTCTGGCAGGGATCTTCACGGTAGGAAGAATGACTGCAACCTGAACTTCACAAGTTGAATGCCAGGTTTGTGGCAAGTGCCCACATCCATCCACAGCAGGTAACATTACCAAAGAGGGAGATGGTACAGGAGTGCCCTCTGCTGTCATTACTGTAGGAAGGCAGTAGATCGTATCAAGCTATCAGGGCTGGCAAGCTTTGTGCATGTGCACACTTGACAACATCCAGCTGTTTCCCCAACCCCAAGTTTGAACTATGCTGTAAATGATCATGGAGAGAACTGGATTAGCACTTTAGTGGTTAAGGCTGCAATCCTGTGGATGCTTATCCAGGAACAACAAGCCCCACTGAACAGACTGTGATTTGCTTCTGAGTGAGCCAATGAGGTGCAGTGGTTAGAGCAGGCTTTCTCAACCGTGAGTCCCCAGAAGTTGTTGGACTACAACTCCCATCATCCCTGGCTAGGTCAGGGATCATGGGAATTGTAGTCCAACAGCATCTGGAGACCCAAGGCTGAGAAAGGCTGGGATGGAGTATTGGACAAGGACTAGGGAGAGTGAGATGCAAGCCCAAACCCAGTCATGGAGCTCGCTAGGTGACTGAATCTCAGCCTAACCTATCTTCAAAGGGATGTTGTGAGAAAATGGTGGCAAGGGAGGACTATGTAGACAATTTGAGCTACGTGGAGGAAAGGGGGGGATATAAACGTAATAAATATGCATAGGATTGCACCTTAAACTATGGGAATTAAGGAGCCAAATCCAAAGAAAGGG